CCCCCAATTATCGATTTTTCTATGCCAATGATCTATACACATTTAAATATGTATAATATTGAAAACTACATACCATAACGATTCTTGTTCAATTTTTATTAAGGCAACAATGGACAATGCTACTCAGATTCAAGAGCTAAGAACGGATGGGTACATTCAAAAGGTTCAAGAAATACAAGCATGTCCGTATGTACATTTAATGTGAAACCCTCCATCGCTCGAAATTATTTTTGAACCACTAGCATAAGTCGGTCATGTAATAGAGGCTTACCTTGTCATAGTTTAAGATAACGCTTGATGATATATATGTGTATTTTTTATCCAATCATATAGATCTGAAAAACAGAAGAAGGCAAAGCGTGTGGAATTTGGAATAACTGAAAAAGGAGGGGCGTTTGACGGACTGAAGTGTTTCAGTGGGAACAAGTAAGTGATGCATCATTAATACCTGGAAAAGACGAGCTGGTAGAGACGGTAGTCCTAACCTACTTTCTTTTGCAGCAAAACACCAATTGAAATACTTCACACGATACTCCTTGGACCTGTGAAGTATTTGCTCACCAATACAATACAATCTTTAAATCAATGACAGAAAGACCGGCTGCATGCAAAAATCTCCTCATTTGACATGTGCGCATTTCCAGCTAAAATAAGGGGAATATCACAAGGAATTATGGTTCCTACGTTGGAAGGGATTTCAATATCTGCACTGATTCCAAATCACCCACTGAAGTCACTATTTATTGTTGGCTCACCCAATGATAATTTCTTACTATACAGTAAGTAAAAAGTAATATGAGATTTTTACCTTGTAATTATACGAGCTTACAGGCATCAGAAAAGCTAATGAAGGCAGCTGAAGATCCAAAAATGCAGCAGTTTATCAACAATACAGCCAAAAAAGATAGCCTCAAGAGCAAGACAATATACCAATCTGGATGTCTACGAAAAGTTAAACTACTTACTTTAACCCATTTCTAACCCAAGCTTACATGAATCACAAAACTTATAAGATGATCTAACCCCTTCGTTCTGTTAATGGCTGAATAACATTTTTTTGTTTATGAACAGAGTTACATAGTCGGCTACTCATATGTCCATTAGCTAGTGTGTCTCAATGTTTATGATGAACAGCAGGCAATATATACAATGTTACCAACCAACCAGTAGGGAAGTAAACAGCTTTGCAATCATGTACATTCATGGATTCGATTCGTGCAATCTTTGACAGACCATTTCGACGGGCTTGCCAAAATTGTTCAAATCCATGACTACAAAAGCTAATTTACCAATCGATCATTAGACAAACACACAATATTTATATTTGATATTAATTAATTAATTTTGTAGGGAGTGTATGTAAAGGGTAAACTTCAGAGCAGGGCACTAAATCAGTGCTTCCCTGCAGCAATAATTGAGAAAACTGGGCACATTGGTGAAGAACCCTGCATACTTTTCAATGGAGTAGTAAGTGAGAACCTAACACTGGTCAACTCAGAAACACCAGTTGTATATGTGGATAACAGCCAACAGGTTTGTTATAATTTTGACAAAATCTAGTATGTAACATATCATTTGGAAGCATGTTGAGACTACGTACCAGTGCTGCCAGTTTTAATTGGAGTAAATGATGTGAATATTTCCCAATCCTGCTTTGAGTAATCTCTATGTTCACCTATCTATAATCAATGATAAATAAATGCCCTTTTTCATAGGATCAAGTTAAATTTATGATACCATACAAGGAGTTTATTACTATTACATTTCATTGCAGCATCATATTGGGATTTTCAAGAAGGGTTTTCAAATGGAGGGACATGAAGATTCTTTGGTGGGATTGAGAAGATGGAATTCTGTAAAAATGAACCCCAAGAGATCATTATGGGAAGTTTCCAGTGCCCCAAAGTGAAGAGAATAAATGAGATAACATAATTCCTTCCAACAGTGTTCTAGATCAGCTTTGCCTTGTGCATGATTGTTCTGGTGCAAATTGTTCTTTTGCTGAATCTGAAACAACCACAAGGATTGAGAGAGAATCAGTGACCAAGGTGAAATATTCTTTATATACATGATCCAGACCACACCACTTATCTTTTGATCAAGTTTTATCTTGGAGAAACATTAAAATACTTTCAAACACTCATTAATAATTCATAAGCCAATTGGCAAATCATGTCAACCATAATATATCACATGCAGTGGCTTTAAACCTGATAAAACACTCCTAATTAGTATTCTTTATATGAAGAATACTAATAAGGCAGTATCTATTGTAGTCATGTCCTCATTAGTATTTTTTATATAAAGAATGCTAATAAAGCAGTAAATCTATTGAATTTGTAGTCGTGTTTGAAGCCGTTTAATAAACTCGCAGGTCGTGTTTTATTAGGTCTAAAGCCACTCGTGCTGCACGCTCCTTTAAACCTGATAAAACACTCCTGCTCATTTATTAAACACTACTTATATTGCATGAATTAGCTTACAATATTTCTGAAAATTGGTCTGATCCGATATTCTACTAAATCATGTACAATTATAGCAATTGAGTTGAATTGGCCCAGATGTTGCATGGCCTGCCTTACAAGCCACTGAGAATTTAATAAAACATGTGAACTTGTAGTACATGCGAAACAAATGATGCAAGTTGTTTTATTTAAATCCAGTGTTATCATCAATTGTACTAATTGTACATGCACGTGTCTACAAAATTTTTGGCAGTGTCTCTTGTTAACACATTAACTGGCAATCCAGCAAATCAGCTCACATGATAAGTGCACCTACCTTTTTACCATTTTACTTGCCAATAGAAGAGTACTGCCAGTTAATGCCTTAACGATTGTATCTATGTTTCAACTACATTTTAACTCTTTCCTGACAGGTTGGTTTCGCATTACATTTCGATTCAATTTTTCTAATATAAATATCTCGGCGAGTATTTACCCCCCTTTTAAATAAATGCCACCATTGAAATCCTCATAAAATAACCTTTCGAACGGGGGGTCAAGTGCCGTCAAAACATTACACAAAGCGAAAAAATCATATATTTACTCACCGCTTGGCCAAAGATTCTAAATTTCATATCCACAAGATCTTGAATACCCCTTGAACCTTTCGTCATTTGCTAAACGGCTATACGTGTAAAATACTCTCTGTATTCAAGCACTTTCGTGTAGAAAGTTTCGTATGTATACGCCGACTAGAAATATTTATTTTGAATTTTTCAAGATATCGGGTTTTACTCGCACTTGCGTACATTGCGCAATAATTGGCCAATAAGAAGCTCCTTTGGCCGGGATGACGTCAAACTCACACGTGTAGGTGCAATTTGACCTTGCGAATCCATTTCTGGCCTTTCCAGGGTCTTACGATACAAACGCCGCATTGTTTTGACGGGTTTCAGTCGTATTTCCGGTTGGGATTAATTCACTTCGAGCTCACAGTCGGACAAGAAATGGAAATATATTGATAAAAGATACAGATTTGTAGATTCAGGGTTGCAAATAACACTCCAAAAACACTATTTAATGGGGATTCGAACAAGACTATTACAAAGACGATATGTTCGATGGGGCCGAAGTTATTTTCGGCAAAAGGTATGGCTAGTCTATAATAATCTGTATTTTTGTTCAGACAATTGCGTAATTTGATACAATATGATCGTTTTGACTTTCAAAGGCCCATAAATCGTTACAATACTAATAATGACTATAACTATCGTTTGGAACTAGTTGATATTTTATTTCTGAATCGAATGGTGGTAATTCTGTCTTCATAGCATGCACTGAACCGAAAGTATGAAATTTCGAGCCGTCGCGATCGACGCGAATTGGGCCTGTTGAGAAAGAGTTAAAAAGTGCTGCCATAGTTTTCTGCTGTCATTGCAAGTCTCCAGCGTGGTGTCACATGTGGTGTCACAATAATTTCAACGTTGGTGGACTCCAGACATTACTAAAAACCGCTTAGTATTCCGTCTTTCAAACATTGAACCAACCTCGTTCCCAGGGCTCTAGTGTGATGATGAGGGGAGAGACGAGGAAGCCCTGGTCTGGGCCGGTCAATTTTGCATTCTGTTGGCTAACACCATATTGTCTAAAAATAACTGAACTTGACAGTTAACAATAACAATTCAACATTTGTATTTTTATGATTCTTGACTTATGTGTAGAAGTATGTTTTGCAAAATAATCTTTCAAAGTAAAACGTTTTCCAGACTGCACGATTTATTTTTGCCTCGGCCGGTTACAAAACTCAAAAGCTGTGTCGACGTGAGCTGTGATGTTTCCTGACAAAACAAGAAACGTCTACTATTATTTACTATTTATTTTCCTTGTACAGTATTTATGTTAATGTAGTGCAGATGTCTGATGAAATACTATGCGTATTGCATTGTAGTAATATTTTAATTTACAATATTCTTGCTGATCGACAAATAAAAGCAAGACAAACAATTAAATGAAACTACGAAATTAATTTAGGACCTGTTTTAAAACTTAATAGCTCTACGCCTAGGCCGATGTAGTCTCTACAAGATTTGTCACTCCACCGAGTTTTACAGTTTCAGAATACCCCGAATACCTGAAAATTGCGACTATACGATAAAATAAAACAAAGATTGTGAATATGGGGATAACATTTGTAGGCAAGCATTGCTCCTGAACGGCAAGTGTTGGTGTCCGGCGAAACAAATCGTTATTGCTCTGTCACGCGTGGTGTAAGACGTGCTTTATATTGCTCTGCTAAAATCTAACATATTTATTCAAAATTCGAAATTTCTTTATGGGATTGTATTACTAAAGCAACTTTGATTTGCCAGCAAAATGTTGTGGTAATAATCGAGGTCGTGGCAGTTGTTTTCATTCGACGTCTCTCATAATATCTCACTTTCAAATCAAGATGGCTACTGAAATTAGTCGCGAAACTAGAAGCCGGTCGGAAGCAAGGAAGGAGTTTGATAGTTATGTTCAATCAGAAGCTTTTGTATCCTTACTTGATGATGCTATATCCAAGCAGTTTCAAAAGTTTTTCTCTTCTGAAGATTTTAAAAAAATGTTGGTGGCAACTACAACGTCTGTGGTTTCTACAGTCGTTAAAGAATCTGTACACGTCTCTCTGGACGAAGTGATTTGGGAAAATGTTATGCCTTTAAAGAAGCAAATTGAAGGTTTATCTGCGCAGCTGAACAAAGTTAAAATGTATGCAAACGAGAATGAACAGTATTCGAGGCGCTGCAATATTCGTATTTTTGGACTTCCAGAGCTTGAAGATGAAAACTGCTATGAAGTCGTTACTGAATTTTGCAAGACGAAGCTTGGCTATAACCTTGAGCTACGTGAAATTGACAGGACACATCGTGTGGGAAGACTAAGGCATGGCAAACAACGAGCTATTATCGTCGAATTCTGTTCTTATCAAAGCAAGATTAAAGTCATGAAGTGCAAAAAAATCTCAAGGGAACTTCAATATATGTCAATGAAGATCTGACTTTTTTTAATAAAGAATTGTTTAATTATGCACGTACTAATCTGAAAGACCTTCCCGTCTGGTCAACAGATGGAAAAGTTTTGATAAAACAACAAAGTGGGCGTATTGTTAGAGCTAAAACCAAAGGTGGATTAAGGGATAATTAATTGCTGGCAAACACATTATAACACAGTATATAATTGTACTATTATTACTTTCTTGAGTGTCGAGTGCTAAATTCCATATTATATAGTAATACTATATACTTATTTATTTCATATTTTGTTTAGTACGACTTCTTGGCAGCTTGAGGTAAGTGATTTCAACTATTAAATGGGGGTTAGCTTGGAAGTCTACAGAGCAGCTGTCGGGTTATTTAATGGGAAAATGGTTTGTATATATTATAAGGTGTTCAATTCATGTGTGTTGTCGTTAATCAATCTATTGTGTGGATGCAAAATTACGCTAATCGTACTATTTAGTCTATTAATTTTACTCTCTGGTATTGAATTGAATTTTATTTGATTTAGCACCACATTACATAAAAATTACAACACAACAAATATACAAAAAATTAGAAATTTAACATGTTGGTGACAAGGAAGCCCAAAACGAAACCACAAGGCTTATATAAATTTAGGCTCCCTTTAAATGTACACCATATATATAAAAAACACAATTAGGCCTAATAAATTATGAAATGCAGACGTGCTTCAGCTTGCAGACTAATATCATTACATCATAATTATTAATAAATTGAACACAAATACTGTTTAAGTCTTTTCTTAAATAAAATAGAGGACACAATATCAACCAGATCATGAGGAAGAGAGTTAAAAAATTTTGGACCTTGAAAGCGCACCGAAAATTGTCTGATATTTGTCCTACATGAAGGTACATGATACTTGGAGGAGTTTCTTGTATTAAAAGTGTGAGTTTGATCATTTTTTAAAAACATGTTGTCAAATCGTTCTGGTAAAAGTGAAGATTTATGATGAAACATAAATTGACCAAGTTGTAGCATACAAATATCATTCAGTTTTAATAAGCCAAGCTTCTTAAATATAGGGCTAGTATGTGCATCGAATGCGCTTTTATTCAGTATTCTAATTACACGTTTCTGCAGTAATTCAATGCGACGAATATTAGTATGATACGTTAGTCCCCAAACAATAACACAATATTGTAGGTAAGGATAAATCATCGAATAGTACAATATACGTAGAGACTCTAGTGGCAGACAGAAACTAGCTTTATAAATTACACCAATAGATTTTGATATTTTGTTAGCAATATGCGAAAAATGCGATTTCCAACTCAGATTTTCATCCAGAATAACTCCCAAAAACACAGTTTCCTTGACTTGTTCAATACACTTATTATTAATAAATAGTTGTATATCCAGGCAATTTTTTTTGTCTAGGTTTAAATACCATAAATTTCGTTTTT